GTGTGTGTGTGTGTGTGTGTGTGTGTGTGTTTATCTGACTCTCACTACAAGATCTGATCTTTTCATAAGAAGAAAAGGACATTGTACCAGGAAAAATTTAAAAAGCTTTTCATGGGGATACAGGTCAATATACAGTACAAGTCTCTGCTCAATTCTTAAACAGATTGGGAACTGGCTCTTTTACTTTCCTTTGTCACCAAAGCTCTGCCAAAATGTCACCTTCAATGTTGTTAAGTTATGGACTAACAAAATCTTCATTGTGGAAAACAAAACCTGATCCATCTATCAGAACCCTGAAGAAGTGTTCTGTTAATCTCAATTAAACAATCTCATAAAATAAATATTTCAATTTATCTGTCATATCATATAGAAATGACAACTATGGGATACTCCAACATGAAAGTGTGGACTAGTACTGTAATTCTCTATTTCTGAAGAATTCCTGTGAAAGAAGTACCGAGACTTTTCAGCACTTATTAAATATAGGTGTGCACATACATTCAAGTTTCAAACACATTTCAAATGAAGCTAGGAGTTTCAAGTAGCTATTCAAAGTTAACCATAGGCAATTAGAGGTGGGATTTTAAAATGCCAAAACAGATAAATTTACACTCACACTTGGTGTTATCCATGTAAAGAAACATTAAACCACCAAAACAATTATGAGCATGAAGCGTGGAAAAGATAAAATATTCATCAAGTTGGCTGGTAGACGTAAAATGGAGGCAACTGAAGCAGATATTTCTGGACCATATAAGGTAAACCTTAATTTCATGCTATATTTAAAAGCAAAACATTATAAAAACTGGCTCATAATACCAGACTGTATAAGAAGTTTCAACCCAAGATATTATATTAGTAAACTTCAACCAAGGAATTTTCATCTTCATTCTCTCTACCAAGCAGAGTTACAGAGTCTGAGTTTTGTTTCCTAAGGGCTTCTCTGGAAAGTCCTCTCACAGACCAAATTATGTGGAGTTGAAATAACCCAAGAGGATGAGAAAGCTGAAATAATACTCATTCGTCTTAAGTAACTGATTCCAATAACCTTTAAATCCCCCCAATGATTGGTTATTCTAACAGTAACATTCCTTCATATTCTAAATCTATGTATAGTATTAGCACAAGTAAGTAATGTACAAGTTTAGAAATTACATGCCAGTATGAATTTACATTTTACACTGTAAAAATTGAAAATTCATATGAAATCACACTGGAATGCTAAAAATATTATAGGTATTAAAAATGTATACAAGACTAGGTTATATTAGTTTATTTTTTCAACCCAATTTTAAGACAGCCTCTCTAGACTTCTATAACACTGAGCATTGACCAAAGTGAAAGAAATAAAGTCACAAACCTCAGATTAAATACCAGTCAGAGATTTAAGGGAAACCTTATGAGACAGATAGTCCCTAAAACAGAGGAAATATTTGCAAGCCTAGTATTAGAGGAGATCCTAATCTAAGAATCAGTATAATCTACGAAGTCAGAAAAAACATCATTGCATTTGATTATTTATTATCATTTAAGTGTGCCTCTGACTTGCCCACTAGGCAGGAGCTTCTTGAAAACAGGAGAAGTGTCTCAATCACTTTTTTTTCCAAAGGACTCAAAGAGTGTTGATTGTATAAGGCACYCAAATACATATTGTTTCAATGAGTGAATGAATAAACAAGGAATTACAGAACTGCATAGAGTATTTCCACTGCTTTGTTCCAAGGTCTACTGTACTCCATATGCAGAACTGTCTTTCTCCTTTTCTCCTAGCAAGGGGTCTTCAAATAAAATAACAGGCCTCTGAAGGAAAAACTTTACAGAATACTCCATATATGTTGCTTACATAGTTAAAATTATATAAAGGAATTAAAAACAAGTAGAAGATACAGATTTTAGTAAAAATGCAAAGTTTATAATAGGGTCTCAAACGTGAACTATACAGCTATTCCTATCCAGACTATCTTGTAGGAAGTACATGCCTAAGTGATATTTTAAAGACACTTTAAGACAAAACCTTCATATCAGTAGCCAGGTAGGATGGCATTTTTTAAAATCTCTTCTCCAACTGCATTTAAAGCACAGGAGCTACTGCTTCACGTCTACATTTCTCTGCTTAAGCCAAATGAAATATATCATATAGATCAATGCACAATGAAAAGAATCAAAAAAGAAAGAAAGAAAGAAAGAAACTTTAAACACAAATTTGACCCTAGTAATTCCTTCCCATTTTTCAAGCACTCTTTTTTCAGGTTAAACTGCAACTACTCTCCCTAAGACAGGATATCTTTCAGCTGTGCCAATTGTGACCAAAAGCCCTTCCAGAGACTTAAATCTGATTAAGTAGCCACTTTCCTTTCGCAGCCATTCCCAATTCAAAGGAAATCCTTCCTCAGAGATTAACTCTTAAAAATGTGGTCAGTTTCTGCAGGCTACTTGGGAATAAATATAAGAAGAGGATAAACAGAAAGACAACCTTCAGTAAAGCGAAATTTCACTTCTATTCTCCGGATGTACCTATACTCTACCCACCCCACCCCCTTCCCTTGCTCGGGGCTCTGGACAGGTGGGAGGCGGGGGAGTATGGCTCCCAGGAAGGAGATCAACTAACTTTCTTCTGTCACCTCACTCCCACCCCGCGCCCACCAAAATCGGGTCCGACTAGTAACTGAAACCACCAGGAAAGACTCCCTGAATCCCCCTCCCCCCTTAAGAGAGGGATGGGACGGGGGGAGCGCGCGGGTGGGATGGAAGTGGGGGTGTTCTGAACTGCAACTCTCCTTACCACTGGAGCGCCTGACGATGTTCTCCAAAAATGTGTTCTGCGGTGCCACCAGCCCTCTCTTGCCCCCCGGCATCCTGGGTCTGGAGAGCGGCGGCCAGGATCCGCGGCGGGGGAGGGGGGGAAGCAGGAAGAGAAGGTGGAGGAAGAGGAGGAAAAGGTGGAGGAGATGGATCCGAAAGAAGAGGGGGCGCGGCGGCGGCGGCGGCGGCAGGGTCCCCTGACTGCGTCTCCAGCCCGACCCGGATGAGCAGCTCTGGGGAGGAGGACCAGGCAGTTCATGGTAGTAGCGCTCCCCCGGCCGCCGCTGCCCAGACTGTGGCGGTGCCGCACACGGGGCTCGGGAACTGCAGGCTCCGCCGGGCACAGTGCGCCTGCGCCGCCCCCGCTGTCGCTGTCCCGCCGGTGCTGATGCTGGGGCTGCTGCTGAGGCTGCTGCCGCGGCGGCGGTCGCCTGGGCGCGGGCTCAGCATTTCTCCCACTGCCCCGCGCCCCGGGGCCAGGGGAGAGAAAGAACAAATTCAAGCCCCTTCTTAGCCCAGATAGAGAACCCTTACTGCGCCTGCCTCTCCGGGTCTCCTAACCCACCCCGCTCGGGCAGCTGGATCACAGCTGCCCTGCGCTGCCCAACTTCTGTTGGGCTGTGCACCTAGTCGCCGCTCCTCTCTTCCCTAGGATCGAGGCTAGCGCCCGCTGTCCAATAAACGCTTTAGAGTGGAAGAAGAGAGCGCCAGGGAGGGCAATGAGAACTTGGAGGGGTCACATCTCATTCTCCGGCCGGTATCCTAAGCCACCGCAGCTCCCACGAACGTGGCTCCAGCGGCAGAGGTACCGATGGACTCCCTTACCAGCCGAGGCTGAGCGCGGAGTAGGATCTGACTGGGCGGTGCGCGGGGACGCAGAGCGGCCACCTGACGCTGCTACCGCCCCCCTCCGGGCTTCAGCGCCTGAAGCCTAGACGGAGGAGCTTTCTGCACCCGGTCTACCCCGCAGCCCCGAACTGGAGCCAGATTGAGTCCCAGGGCAGAGCTGGCACCCGGAAGGTCCCTCTGCCCTAGGCTAGGTCTGGCATACTAAAGAGCAAGGATCCTCACAGGGGACCTTCCCCAAAGGCTGCTGAGCGCCAGAGGCGAGCAGCAAGCCTTATCGCCACGGCAAAGTTGCAGAAAGGGATTTCATTTGACGCAAGGAGTAAAGGAAGAGTGTGGCTAATCCCCACCAAGCGAGGCAGTGGGACAGGTGGCATTTGTGTGGGAAATCAGTGAAGGCTGTGAAGACGAAGCGCTCAAGACTAGGGCAGGGGCAACCCCCTTTCCACCACCGCCGCCACCACCATCATACACGTTCAGAATCAGTGGAACGGGTAAAGCGGTCCAAAAGCCAGGGATTGCCACGGAGAAGAGAAAATTGCATAAATGCGAATAGAATGGGGAGAAATGGAAAGAAAGGGGGATCGCAAGCCGTGGCACCTTCTTTTAGCTAAGCATTGGTCCTCAAAGCGGTCCGCTCCATACTGGCAACATCAGTATCACTTAAGAACTTTTTAAAAATGCAAAGTTTGGAGCTTTATCCCAGAGCTAGGCAGCAAGGAACTCTGGGAATGGAGTTTAACCAACTGTTGTTAAGGAGCCTTCCAGTAAACATGTTACACAGTCAAGTTTGAGAAGCCCAGCAAGACTTCCCCTCGAGTGTCTCCACCTGGACCTGTGGACTGTATAGGCAGGGTCAATAAGTGGAGGACACAAAGTGCGCTGGAGCGGAGTCAGTGCTTTGTGACAGCAAAGTCGTGGGTGCCAAAAACGAAAGGTTAATTGGATAGATGCGTCCACTTTTGCTGGGTTCAAAATATTAGCGCCAAGTGATCTTGGTCAGGTTGCCAGAAGCAGAAGGCATTTCCTGGGTTGTGGTCGGGGTAACATCTAAGACACCTGCCTTGGGGGGACTTTGTAGTCCTCAGGGGACTTTGTAACTCACCCTTTTACCATCCTCCTCCCTACCCTGCGTGGGCCCACCTTCCTCCTTTACTCCTCCCTCCCTCTCCAGAGCACGCTGGGTAAGGACCAGCGCCAGTGGTCCAGAGATGGCGAAACAGTTAAATGCACAACCAGGCTTTAACTTAGGGCCGTTTTTTTCCCTCTCCTCTCTGAAATTTCCACCTGCCCAGCCAGATGTTGGGCATCTGAGCAAACCAGAAGGTTGACACAAAGCAAAAAGTGGTTTGTTCTGCTAAGATTCTTTGGGGGGGGGGGAGAATATATATATATATATATATATATATATATATATAGAGAGAGAGAGAGAGAGAGAGAGAGAGAGAGAGAGAGACACTAGATGTAATAATACTAGACTATTCTAGTTTTCTCCTGAAGCGTTGCAGGGAAGGTGAGTGAATCCCCCTACAGCTAGAATGTCTTTTAAATACGTCGGGATGTTTTCAGTTAAATAACAAGAACTCAGTCACAGTTTGGATCCGCTATGTTTAGCTTGCCTCAGGAAAGAGGTTACATCTCCCTCACTGCAGTTTGGTAGGGTGTGCAACAGCCGTAGGGAAACTCAAAACCCACACATCCACCCCAGCCTAAACCACACAGTTGAATTTTTTCCCTCTAGTGAGTCTTAAACGACCTGTGAAAAATATCCTAGACTAATCACATTCACTGACTGAGGTAGTGAACAGACAGGCTTATATTTTTAAAATATGCATGTGTATTTTTTCTCACAGATTGCTACCCTAGATTTCTAGCATGGGATGATAATTCTATCATCATCATTAACAGAGAATATTTCAAATCTATATGTTCTTTTGCACATCATCAGCTGCCCACATCTCGCCTCTGGGTATTGATTTAAAATCCCAGCTTCCCAGCATTTCCCATCTAGTATAAATATCCCTGTTCCTAATCATTGCTCTGTGGGTGTATTAGCTCACACTTCCCAAAGAGGAAACTCTTGTGGACTCCATTAAGACACAGTCACACAATTACTGGTAGAACATCCTCCTTTATTTCCATCTACAGATTTAATTACAATGACATTTGTCCTTTCTTCTTTGTCCTTAATAACTGCCCAGCATTGAAACTTTTTGATTATTTTAATAACTGTAAAAAAAGCAATTGGTGGTTATAAAGTGTCAAATTATTGGATGACACACTTTTCTTAGTCTTGCAGTTTAAATTTTTCATTTTGTAAAGAAAGAAAGTGAGACATAGAAAGATGAAATGCCTTGTCCTAGATGACTCAGTGCACTGGAGCACTCAGCTAGAGACTACAATCGGGTCTCCTGACCCTGTAGCCAAAGCTCCTTGTAAGTAATAGAAAATAACCTGAATAGTGGATTAGTTTGGCAACAATCATCAACATCCAGCCATCTCTATTGCCAGAACAGCTCCTGCAGCACAAGAAAGGAGAAGCTCCTGGAAACAACTTGCAACAGCTCCCAATCAAAACAGAGTTAAGGAAAATACAGCAGCAGCCKTATGGACTGCCTGACCCTAAGGATTGTGCTGGCAGATTGCAATGAGGTGCCAATACAGCATTTTAAAAAGTGTTTTGCAAACAGAGTCCATATGTTGTGACCAAACCACAGGACTTAACAGGTGAGAGAGGAATTTAAAAGCCTCAATGTCATATAGAGGGCTTCATTTTGTTTATTTTATTGCAAAAACAATCCATTTTAAAGTGAGATCATGTGCCCTTTTTTCTGTCTTGTGGTATGTTCATATATATTAATTCTATGAAAACCCAGAGTTCCAATGCCTGGAAGTATTTTTAGACTCTGAAGACAAAACAGAATGAACTGCAATGAGCTGAACTGCAGGTGTGTTCCCCTTTAACAGAAACCAATAGAAAAGTGAAGCTTTAGAAAAATTTTATATTAGGAATTTATGATCTGCAATTTGCTGAATGATTTTTTTTATCAAACACTCCTCCTTTGAGGATTTTAAAATATAGAGTAATGGCGAACATACTAATGTTTGCCAATATGCCCCTGCCTTTTCTTCCTCCTTGAAATTAGTTGTGGCCACGCAACTGGTGCTGATCAATGAAAGATGACTGGAGGTGATGGGTGTTACTTCCTGGTACAAGCATAGAAAAGCTATGACTCAGTTTCCCATGCTCCTCTTCCTCTGCCTCAGTGACTAAGGAATGCCAAGCAGTACAAGGAGAACTGCTGCCCATATGAGTTGCCTAGATTAAAATTATTTGACAGTAGCTATAATTATACATCCATTTTCAGAAAATCTGATTTAATGTTTGATCCCTTATGTACAAATGGCCCAACCACTACTCTCTGAGGGAATGATTTTTCTCCTTGTCCCTGCTCTCTTTTTCTAAGCAAATCCAGTACAGAGCCAGGGTGCAATCCAATCGACTGATGCTGAATGGATGACTGGTGGAGGAATGGAAGGAAGGGAAGAAGGAAAAGGTCAGAAGTCACTTTCCAGGGTTGGTCTCAGAAACAGCAGCATCAATCCATTCCACTTCCTTCTCCCCAAACCTCACTTCGTGCCTCCCTTCTAGAGCACTAGCAGTGCCATATACAAGCATTGCTTTGTACCTTTGAATGCACAAAGTCCTGCACTTAAACTTACACTTCCACCTCCACACTTTCCTCTCACCCCATACAGGATCTAAGCTGGGAGCAAGCAAAACTAWAGAGGCCCAGCAAAATGGGGGCTCAGCACTTTGACTCTGGACCCAGACTGCCTGGAATTAAATCTCATCTCTGCTACTTACATGACTTAGAACAAGTTATTAAACCTCAATTTCCCCTTCTGAAAAAAAATCAACATAAAATCAGCTACTTAATAGGGCTGTTATGAGGATTAAATGAGCTCCTATTTGAAATCCATTAAAATAATATCTGGCATGCAATAAGTACTATATAAGGGTGTGAAAGTAAATACATAAGCCTGTTCTTTCCCTCTACTTGTATTTCAATAAAGGCCCTATGTAGGTGGTGGTCATTACTAATGCAGAAAACAAACTTTCATTGTATTAAGACACTGAGATTCTTCAGTTTGTTACTATCCTATAACATAGCCTATTCTGGCTGATATAGTTTCTGAACTTCATTTGGACATAGGAAATTAGAAGAACAAAAATTTTCTCCTTGACTGAC